TTAAAGTACCTGCAACCACTGTACGATTCTTTTCAAGTACCTGCAACCACTGTACGATTCTTTTCAATTGTAATCTAAAAAATTCTAAAAAACCAACCAAATATAATTTCCACAATGCTGAGGAATTTATATTTGTATTAATTTAAATTTTACATAAAGGCTGTGTAAATTACAACACAATATATACACTCTTACTTGATGTAAATTGGTATATGCTAGCCAAACAAAATCAAATGCAGGTTTTTTTCTTGTTTGTACTAGGGCTTGGCAACCTGTGGAAACCACAACCGGTTTACCGGTTTTTGTTAAGTCTTTTCAAAAACAAAAACATTATTATACATTACTAAATAGATTAATATTTGAAATAACGGGTGGTTACTAAAAATCCGGACAAACTTTAACTGAATTTTAAATGCCACAAGCTAAATCTTTTTTATTCATGTTTATATCCATTTTATAGCTTATTTAATTCTCTATAAGTTAATTTTTTTTTTTTTTAGATAATTAATAATAATTAAAAAAATAATGATGACCAAGCAAGAAGAGGTAAGAAAACAGATTTACGAGTTCTATTTGAATAATAAATTGCAAGTTCACAGTAGCTCACTTCAATGCTGAAAAAATCCCAAGAAGCACTATCTATGATATAATCAAACGTGTTGAGAATGATTCTGGGCACAAAAGAGTGCAAGGAAGTGGTCGTGTGGCCAAAATCATGACTTCTAAGAGGATCAAGCGCCTGAAAGCCAGATTTGATCACAGTGACCGAGTTTCGATGAGGCAAGCTGGTCGAAAATTTGGATGCAGTCATTCACATATCATTAAAACTCTTGCCAAGTACACTGACATCAAAAGTTATACAAAACAGGGTATACCTCATCGACAAGAGAACCAGAATGAGCGAATCAAAACTGGCATTGATCGTCTTTTTCGCGTTTTTAAAGGAAAATCGGTCATCCTTGACGATGAGTCTTACTTCACGCTGTCACACTCAACAATTAATGGAAACAGCACCTACTACTCTAGCAACAGAGACAAGACTCCACCAAGTGTTAAATATCGCAAAAAGCGCAAGTTCGAACCCAAGGTGCTTGTCTGGCTGGCCGCTTCTGACAAAGGTGTTTCAAAACCATTTTTTATACCCAGCGGCCTTGCAGTCAATAAAGCCATCTATGAAATGAATTGTATTAGGAAAAGATTAGTGCCGTTCATCAATGCTTATCATGCCGATGGTAATTACATATTTTGGCCGGACCTGGCTTCATCGCATTATGCCAAAACCGTGACCAGCTACTACGAGACTCATAACATCAATTTTATCAAAAAAGTTGACAATCCGCCAGCCGTACCGGAGTGTCGCCCAATCGAAGACTTTTGGGCTATTTTGAAAGGCAAAGTGTATGAGAGTAACTGGCAAGCAAAAGACGTGAAACAACTACAAACCAGAATAAAGCTTTGCCTGAAAAAAATTGACCTTAACCTTGTATTTTCACTTTTTGGGTCAACTCGTGTTAGAGTTGGCCCAATCCAAATTAAATAACTAAAAACTCTTTTTAATGATAGTTTTATTTAATCTCTACCATAAAAACTTTGGGAGTAATTGCACTTAAAAGTTTGTCCGGATTTTTAGTAACCACCCGTTTTTTCTTGTTTTGAAAAGCTAACAAGTAACGTGGAAAGCACAAATATTGTGAAAATATATAGTTTTAAAAAGCACTTTGGCATTTCATTTAGTTTTATTTATTTCAATATTTTTTTACCAATTATTATTAGATTACATACTGACAAAATCTTTCAACAATATTTAAATTTTAAAATACTTCAAATAATTAAAACAGCCTAGTAAAATAGCACTAACTTTTTTATTCTTTGTATTTGTCGTTTTATTTTGTTTGTTGTTTCATTTTTTGTTATTGTTATTTTAATTTGAGATTGTTAAATCTCAAAATCATGCACCCCATCTTTGATATAATATATTATTATTAAATTTTGATCCTTCTTTTACTCTTCCTGTTTTTAAAACTAAATTTAAAAATGTTTTTTCTATGGATAGCATTCTAAAATTCTACTAAAAACATATGTAAAATGTATTTGCTAAATCTTCAGCATATTATATATTAAAACGTTTGTATGTTGTATCTTTGCATTTTGTTAAATCTTCAATATATCTATATATTACAAATAAATATGTTTAACTTTTAAGGTTCTGACGATAAGATCCTTATGATCTTCTTTCCAAAACCTATCTTTATATTGTTAGTACGCTAAATTGTTTATTTTTTTAAAAGACTTTTATGCTATTATGTATCACGACTATCATTGTAATATGAAAAAAAAAAAAAATTAAAAATAAATTTTTCAGCAACATATTTGTTTTAGAATTTTGACTTTCATTTTACTTTAAATATTATTAATAGTTGTATATTTTTACTTTACACTTTTGTATACTGATCACTTGCATAATTATGCAGTTTACAAAAGTGGCAACTAAATGCCTTTTTTTATATTTATAATACTAACTAAATATGCTACTTTTAACTAAAATTATATAATTTAAGTTAAAAGCACCATATTTACTTATGAATAGTATTAAAAAAAAAAAAGGTCATTGAGTTACCAAAAAAAAAGATGTAAATATTACTGTACATTGATAAAAATTAATGTTTAATTTTTATCAATGTACAGTAATATTTACATAATAATACTTAATAAATAAAATTAACAGTAATAATACTTAATAAATAAAAATTAAATTTTTTTTTATAAGAATGAAAAACTTTCGTTTAGTTTACAGATCTAATTCCAGTTTATCAATCCTGTAGGTTACATTTGATTTTTTTTTTTTTTTTTTTCACCTTTCCAAGGCCCGAGGGGGCCACTACAGTCGAGGAGGCTACTCTTTTTTTTTGTTTTTTGTTTTTTTGTTTTATTGTTGTAAATCGTGGTACAACCCTCTTCCAACTCTTTAACGCCGACACTCTTTAACACGAACCTTGACAAGCAAGACGGCTGCGCGGAGAAATTAAATTGAGCGCGGTGCTTCCAGGGACCTGGTGGGAGTCGAACTCCGAACCGCTTGCTTACAAAGCGAGCGCTCTTACCACTACACAACTACCGCATATTTAAACGGCAATAATAAAAATTAGTTTTTATAATAAAAAACCGGTGTAAAACAAGTTATCCAGTTTTACCATTTAAAAAAAACAAAAAAAACCGATTTTTGCCAAACCCTAATTTGTACGATGTTTGTACAATGTACATTTGTTTTCATTTGTATGATGCAGAAATAAATAAACATTGTATTTTCAGATATAAAGATTTAGTTAATAAAGCTATTATTGTCCAGTTTTATACTGTCATAAAAGCAAAATTCAAATGCTCTAGTTCTGCTGCTACACCGACCTGATGGTTCTTTTAGAACTAATGATAGTGAAAAATCACATCTTCTGAATAATTTTTTTCTGTCTTTGATACAGATTTTTGGATTGCACTTGCCTTAGATTTGCAGACACACACAAATTCTTTAAATAATGTAATGTTTTCTGTAATTGTATTAACTCTGCAAAAGCTTCCATCAAAGTCTTATAAATCACCTAATAGATACCCAGCCATATTTTTAAAATCAATTGCCATTGCTATTTCTCTTTCCATTCTCTTTGAATCGGCAATGTCAAAAATGTCATACCTGTTATCTGGAAAGCCACTATAGTATGCCCCATTTTTAAGAAAGGAAATCTTTAACCACTAACTATAGAATTATTTCTATGTTCACTGTTTGTAAAGTTATTGAGTCAATTATTGTGAAATACGTTAAAAATTGCTTATTAATTAATCAATGCGCCTTTTACACAGATGCTAACAACCTTAAACAAGCAGACCACAGCTGCCAATAACAAAAGAATTGTTGATATTGTATATATAGACTTTAAGAAAACTTTTGATACTATGACAAACCAGGTTCCTGTTCAAACTGTATTTCTATGGTATTAAGTGCGAATTGTTAAACTAGATTACAAACTTTTATAACAAATTGTTATAAACAATTTATAATAAATTGTTCTCCATGTGTTTGTGTCAATAACTCATACTCAAACAAAATTCTTGTAAGAGTGGAATACCTTAAGGGAGAGTCGTAGTTTTTAGCCCCAACTTATTTTCAGTTTTAAAAAACTATGTAACTTTGTGTATTGACAGTGATTGTGGCATCGAGCTGTTTGCGGACAACAGCATGCTATATCAAGCAAGAGATGATGGAAACAACGCACACATTGTTAATACCATTAGTGTGGAATCCTTTCCATTTAAAAGATATACGTCAGATAGAAAAGGTTCCGAAATAATTTACTAGTATAGCCTGTAAAAGACGTTGTATTCCTTATAAAGAATATTTCTCAAGACACCTTAATCTTAAATCATTTGAATAATGTAAAATAAAGCTTAACCTTATATTGATATTTATAAAATTATATAAAAACTTAAACTTAAAACATAAAATAAAAACAAAAATTGTTAATCTACCTTTTTCTGAGTTTTTTAAATATACACCTTCTCACCATTCTACAAGCTCAATATTATATTTCACATAACAAATGTAATAACAACTCACAAAGATTTTTCACTGCAAATTAAATTATAAAGATATGGCATTCTCTGCCTGATTGCATTGTTTACTTAGCCACATTGTCTTTGTTAAAAAAAAAATTAAAAAGTACAATGTTTATCACAACTGAACACTATATTAATATTTTTTTCCTGTTTATAGAAATTTTTATATAACATGTATCATTCTTTTGTATTTTTCTTTAAGTGAAAATAAATAATAATCAGATAATAATAAAAAGCAAATGAATCAGATAATTATAAAATACTAAAACAGTTGAATAACTAAAATTAAAATATTAGTAAAAAAATTATTGATGTTTGCATTTAATTAAAAAAAAAATTAATTTTAATAAAATACTTTCAATTTTAATTAAAATAATACTTTAAACATATATTACTTGAATGGGACCTCCACATTGCTGTTCCTTGTCTCATTGCATTTTGTAAGGCATTAAAGTTCCATTCAATTTCATTCTGAGTATCATTTTCACCTTCATTTTCAGGAGATTTAAAATCAATTACATTTTCACTCATTTTTTTATAGCGACTTTTGCCCCTCCAATTATCTTTAAGAGATGGATCACGCGCTGGATAGTTATCACCTGTATAAAAAAAAAAATATATATATATATATATATATATATATATATATAAACATAAAAATAATTATATTTTTAACAAATAGGAATAAATCCACAAAAAGAAGTATTATTTTGAAGTATACAAAATTAAACTCTAAGATATCATATATACATTTAAAATATAAATATAAATATATATATATATATATCATTTAATATAGAATTGTATTAAAATAATACAACGATATAAAACTCTTGTTCAAAGAAATATGCTCAATGTTAACGAATGTTGGCTGGTAGTCAGGTTTCCCGAACTGTGGTAGCTCTTAGAGAGGCTGATTCTATCATCAGCAAGTTCTCTAATCCATCATTCACTAATATTCGTGGTCTTTGAAGTAACTTTTCTTCTGCTGAGTTTTATCTCTTGCAAAGTTCACCAGACCTACTTGCTCTTTGTAAGACTAATTTGAATAAATTCAATTAATGCGTTTTGCTGAAGTAAAAAGTATATTTTTTATTGTATGTTAAGAGTGATGGCTCTTATAGTTAAGATAACCATGGGAATTTGAAGGTTTATAAAATATATCTGTTTAACCATGTTGTTATCATGTAGAATAACTATTATATCTAAAATGTTTAAAAACTGGAAGTGCTTTTGTGCATGAGCAATTTCAGATTGTTCCTCTGTATATTTAATATTGGGGTTTTAACAGCAAGTTAACATTTATAGATTTAAGTAAAGTAACAAATGTATCTTTTGAAATAGTTTTGTATAATTTCAAATTCAATTTTATGCAAAAAATTAGGTGAGACTTCAAGAAATAATTTCACTTTGTTCTATTACTAAACAAGCATAAGGAGGCACCATTTTTGTTACCATGTACCATTATATACATTTTTGTTCCCTGATTGAAAAACTCCTTCTTGAAAATAAAATTATTGTTCTTTAAAATGAAATCCACACTTTATAAAATAAAAACTTCTGAAAATCAAAGAGGTATTACTTTACAGAATTTACATATTAAGAACTTAACAGCTTCTAAACCTAGTTCAACACTGAACTAGAATAGAAGCTGTCTATATACTATATCAACACTGTATAATGTGGTATTTTGGTATTTCATATTATTAGTTAGTACTCTAATGCCAATCATCTTTGATATATGTCTTCAATTTTGGTACAAGAGGCGATAAGATTTTTTTTCTATTAGTTCACTAAAACATTGGGTAGGTGAAAAAAAAACCTCCCATTATTGGTCTTCCTTTTAGATAATACAGGCATAAACATTTAATATAATCTTTATTGGATTCATTAACAAGATTTTAATCTAATCTGAATTTTTGGTAAAACATAAAAATTGTTAGCTTTTCATTTAATGTAATAACTTCTTTGATGCTCCTTCAATTTCAACAACACATGAACCAAAAAGAAAAAAGAAAAAAAAACAACCAAAAACAGTGAAAAAAACTAATGCTACAAGGAAGGTTGTTGTCACTCTCAACCACGTAAAGCTTCCAGACTGGGGTGCAATGTTTGTCGTTGGTGTTGTCGCACAAGCACTTGATGCTGATCTGAATGTCGCTTCATCTTGCAACACAATTCAACAAGGACAGATCAAGACATATTCCGTTGTTGGTGCAGAGATGCAATCTAAATTTGTGGGAGATGATGACCCCACTACTTCGGCACTGGGATGGCAAACTACTCCTTGATATCATAGGGAATAAGGGGTTTGTAGACAGAGTTGTCATTTTAATCCTAAGTGGACACGTGGAACAATTTCTGGCAGAAGCTCTTCTTGAGGCCCTGGATGACTGGCAGTTACATTCACAAGCTCAAGAACTCGTGTTTGATACAATTAGTTCTAACACTGTAATTCATCTTAGTGCATGCTAATTAATTGAGAAAGCTTAGAAACCTGAACTGATATGAGGTCATGTTGTCAGTTGCATTCTCAGCTACAGTGGCAACCACTAGCCGACCAACTAATGTTGTCTTCAAATGCTTTTAAATGAACTGGACTGTCATCAACAAATCTAGCTTCAAAATTCCTGTTGGGTGATGTCTTTAATGGAATGCTTAATAGTTTATGACAAGAGATGAACTCATTTTATAAGACTGCAATCAGAGATAAATCTCAACAAGAAGATTATATAGAGCTTCTTCAGTTATGCTTTTTTATCTATTTTTTTCTTGAAGGAGAAATTGATGGCAAGCTATGTCTTCGTGCACCAGGTGTTCTGCACAAGGCAAGATGGATGGCTAAGGGCACATATTCTATTAAGATATGTCTCTTCAGAGATCAGATGCAACTTACAGCACATGAATTGCAAGGCTTGATGAAGGTTTTTGGCATAAGTCACTACCTGCTAAGAAAGTGCCACTAAATGCCCTTAAACTACTAAAGCTGCTTGACTTGAGTATCCTGAGCGCTGTGTCAGTGATAAAGCATCTGCTGTTTTAAAGTGACTGTTTTAAAGTGGTACTTTTCAGAGCATCTAGTACCACTTGCTCATTTTGACAAGCAGGTCAAAGATGAAATCAAGACAACAATGGTGGTAAACTTTTTGCATGCATTAAATAAAAATGTTGTTAAGCAACATGGAAAAAAAAAAAAATTGATCACAGCAGCCCTTTGTCAAAATATGTCACAAGTATGTCAATTTTATTCTTTGATTTGCTATCAAAAAACAGAAAAGAAGAGGCTAAATCACTCCTATGAAAACCACCTACTTTATAGTCCAATGATGTGATATTCCAGGACATGAGTGCGAAAGTTACCCTTTTCAAGGTTGATAATGACATGACAGGGCAAGGCATTGACCTCATCCAAAGTTATAACAGTGCATTGATAAAAAACGAAACTCAAAAAAAGTATTTATCACAGCTTATTAGCAGCCATCGGAAGCAGTTTTCTTCTTTAACAATGGAAGTGTTGATGAATGTCAATAAATAGCTTCTGATAGATACTAGAGCAGCAAGACAAACATGCAAGGAGTGTTGCTATATCGACTAACAAATATGTAAACATGCAAGAAGTACTGCTGTATCAACTGATAAATAAATAAATGTGCAAGGAGTGCTACTACATTGACTGAAAAATAGGTAAACATGCAAGAAAAGCTGCTACATTAACTGGGGTGTTGGTTTAGGCAGGCAATCTTTCAAATATATATATATATATATATATATATATATATATATATATATATATATATATATATATATATATATATATACTATATATATATATATATATATATATATATATATATATATATATATATATATATATATATATATATATATATATATATATATATATATATATATATATATATATATATATATATATATATATATAGGGTGTTACCCAGGAAAAATTTCATTCAGTGTTTTTGCAAAATTGGGAATTTAGGTGCAGAAATATATTTGACTATATAACTATTTAAATACTTTAGTATTTTTAAATACTTAAAAAACTTTTTTACAAAGGTCGTATTGTTCATCATATTTTATATTATAATTTTTATCATTAGATAAATTTAACAGTTTAAAAACTTATTTAAATCAATAGCTTTTAAATAAAAGTTTTCGATATCTTAATAACTTTTATTTGAAAAACTTGGTTGGCTCGCCGATTTCCGTCAAATATAATGTTTGTTAAAAGAACTTTTGTTGCAATATGCTACTTTAATTTAAATAAGTAGCAAAGACATATAGGGGGCAAAGCGAGATTCTTTCACCGCACGAGGGCAGCAACTAAATTTAATTGGCGTATTTTAAACATCTAGTAAATTAGGTATTTAAATTTAAAAAAATGTATTTAAATACAAAATTATTATTATTAATAATATTATTATTTTTTCAATTTACATTACATTCATTAAATATCTACATAAAGTTTGTATTTGTAAATTAAAAAAAGAATTTTGTATTTATAAATATTGGTTAATGATTAATAATATTATAATAATATTTAATTATCTTCTTTTACGTTTTACGTAAATATAACATAGATAATATGTTTCATTGCAAGTTTAATTTTTGATTATTCTTGTTGTTATTTTCAATTTACTTTACCTGCTAATTTATTTTACTGAGAGCATTAATAAATCTTTTATCACAAAAATGTTATTAACTTATTTTAAAGAATAATATTTATTATTATGCAAATTTCTTTGTAACTTTACTAACTTAAGATAAACAGCAAAATTGGGAATTTAGGTGCAGAAATATATTTGACTATATAACTATTTAAATACTTTAGTATTTTTAAATACTTAAAAAACTTTTTTACAAAGGTCGTATTGTTCATCATATTTTATATTATAATTTTTATCATTAGATAAATTTAACAGTTTAAAAACTTATTTAAATCAATAGCTTTTAAATAAAAGTTTTCGATATCTTAATAACTTTTATTTGAAAAACTTGGTTGGCTCGCCGATTTCCGTCAAATATAATGTTTGTTAAAAGAACTTTTGTTGCAATATGCTACTTTAATTTAAATAAGTAGCAAAGACATATAGGGGGCAAAGCGAGATTCTTTCACCGCACGAGGGCAGCAACTAAATTTAATTGGCGTATTTTAAACATCTAGTAAATTAGGTATTTAAATTTAAAAAAATGTATTTAAATACAAAATTATTATTATTAATAATATTATTATTTTTTCAATTTACATTACATTCATTAAATATCTACATAAAGTTTGTATTTGTAAATTAAAAAAAGAATTTTGTATTTATAAATATTGGTTAATGATTAATAATATTATAATAATATTTAATTATCTTCTTTTACGTTTTACGTAAATATAACATAGATAATATGTTTCATTGCAAGTTTAATTTTTGATTATTCTTGTTGTTATTTTCAATTTACTTTACCTGCTAATTTATTTTACTGAGAGCATTAATAAATCTTTTATCACAAAAATGTTATTAACTTATTTTAAAGAATAATATTTATTATTATGCAAATTTCTTTGTAACTTTACTAACTTAAGATAAACAGC